GATGGTGATGAAAATGACATATTTAACGAACATAAATGACGTTTATATATCATAGACAAGTAATATGCTTTATACTTGCAATCGTTGCCACCCGGTGAAAGACTGTCTTCGTTTAAATACGACAACATCAGATTATATTAATGTCTAGGTCACTAAAAGCCTAAACATACGAGTATAACTATACAAATAAATAAAATTGAAGTGTCTGTTTGTAATGTTAAATAACAGCTTTTTACTAAATGCATTTGAAAGTATATACTGTGAAATTTGTGTCTGTCTGTCTGTCTGTTTGTTCCGGCTAATCTCCGAAACGACTGGACCGATTTCGACAGCACTTTCACTAGCAGATAGCTATGTTCTAAGGAGTAACTTAGGCTACTTATATTTGAGAAAAACAATTAGGGTCCTGAGCAATATAAATAAAACCCTAAATTACACGCGGGCGAAGTCGCGAGGAACAGCTAGTGCTAAATAAATAAGTAAAATGAGTACATGCGTAAATCCTATATTATAAATAAAGAATGCTTTATTTATTACTTGCAAATTATAAATATTTTTTTCTACATGACTTTAAACTCAACATGTAGCGTTTTTGATATTCAGTTAGAAAAATTTCAGCCGCTTTGAACTTTCTGAGCTACGAAATAAAGTTACCCTCAGTATTTGCTCCGTAAAACCACATGGGGCTTGTATCTTTTCACAAATTGTATTAAATTAGAGTAGTTCATTCAACAACGAAGCTCTATTTGTGGTACATGAAAGTATAAATTCTGTTATATATTTTGGAAGATTTACTTTTAAACTATATCCCGTCTGTATTCGTAATGAACATACTTATGCAATTTCCGCTGTCATACAAAGATATTTATGAAATTATTTATGTCTAAATGACTAACGTGACTTCGCAATCATAACATCTGCAGTTATTGTATAAAACGAATTTTTAGGGCTTTTACCGCATTTAATGTATATGTAGGAAGTATAGTGGGTATAGTACAGAGACTGATTTTGTAGTTAGAAATAATAATTAATTCGTTTACATGAATTAATTATCCAACGAGTCGAGGATAAACTAGTAACGGAATACGACAAGCGCACCGTTCCACGTCAGAGCCAAGACTGTCCTAACGGCGGCAGCTCCGTCCGTTTTATACAAGCTAAATGGGCGCCACCGCAGGTGCAATGGTGCAGGTGTGCGGAGCACGTGCAATGGTGCACGTGCCGTCACGCACCGTTCCACGTCAGAGCCAAGACTGTCCTAACGGCGGCAGCTCCGTCCGTTTTATACAAGCTAAACGGGCGCCACCGCAGGTGCAATGGTGTAGGTGTGCGGAGCACGTGCAATGGTGCACGTGCCGTCATATATATAACTTATTTTATTACACTTATTTTTACTAGCTGTTCCTTGCGACTTCGTCCACGTAGAATTAATTACAATTTTTTTGCGCGGAACCCCAATTGTTTTTCTAAAATAAATGTACCTAGCATAAGTTACTACTTATAATAGCAGCTACGTGCCAGTGAAAGTCCCGTCAAAATAATTAAAATTAGACAGAATAAAGTCCGCAAAATACAGTTTTCACACTTCACTTCAAGTATAAGTGTGAATATAAAAAATCAATTCTAAAGTTATTGTTTAAATAAGGCGACACTACAATACGTTTTATCTTTTTAAAACTTTTTTTTATCTATCTATTATATGTAACTATTAGTTCTCCACGACTTCGCCCGCGTGTAATTTAGTATTTACTCAAAAACACGATTTTATCGTTGATATCGTTCCGACTGCACGTTACTACAGTGAAATGTCGTTAATATCTTTGGGTTCGTTGCCGTAGTATTGTGACCGTTATAAACCGTTTTTTGACAAAATAAAATCGATGTTTTAAAAATCGATACTTTTACATTTAGAAAAGCGAGAAACGTATTATTTAATGCTTAAAAATATAAAAATAATCTGAACACATATATTTCTAGCTTTATTTTGATATTTAATACGTTAATATTGGAAATAGTTTGTCTAAAAAGGCCGGAGTTCATACTTAGATTTTGAATAAATGTAAATTTAACCTCCATTTTTTCTCTCTACGTTATTGATTCGTCAATGCTTCGCGTGGTCTCTCGCTATCTTGGAAATATTTGTGCTATTGGTTATTCTTATATTTTCTGACTCGGCTATCACTCTTTGACTGTTTCTGCTATATTCGTTGACCTTTCTTGCTAATTCCAGACTTTGTACGCATTACGTGATTTTGGTCTTATTATGTGAACTAGAAACATGTATAAAAGAGGACGTACTCTTAACAGCCAGTCTCGTGACTTGGTTTTGAAGTATTATGAGTACGTTGAACGGAAGTCAGCAAATAGAGGGCCTCTTTTAGAAGTTGCCCAAGTACAAGAACGATTTGCACAAGCGCTTGGAATTGGCATAAAAACTGTCCGCAATATTATAAAGGAAATGTACGGGCCTTCTGGCTGTGAAGGTAATGTACTACGCACACCCAAAAAGCGAAAAAAACAAAAACCTGTGACAGGTATCGATAATTTTGACGTTGATGCTGTCGGCGCCGTTACGACAGCACCGACGGTGTTTGCGGGGAGTATGTGAAGTGCGGGGGGTTTCTCACCACCACGCCTAAGACCGGCACTCGCCGATAGCTCGCGACCCGATCGCCACCAAATATTTTGTATTTTTCATTCCTTTTAAATATACAATTTGCCTATCGTGTGAGTCGCCTATTTTATTCATGTTCCCTAATTGAACATAGTGGCGACCGTGATAAATTAAAATATCGAATTCCGATTTCGCCGCGTAATACGGACCAAAGGTCGTAGCACTTACCCCGCGTTTACAACGTCGCGAACGCAAGTACTACGAGCTACGAGAACAAAGGAAGCCACGCCGATCTACTACATCAGCTAAGAAGATTATTAAATTGGCGTACCATCCCGAGTCCTAAGAACAACAAAGCGGTCAAGAAGAATTCATCTGGAGCGGAGAGAAGACAAGAGGACAGCTATTGAGAACCGGCCAAGCTGAGGTCCAGCGGAGTCTACGCGCCACATCAGCGGTTTTTGCCAACTAAAAGTGAGCCCGTTCCTATTATTTTACCTCTTCGTGTCCCACTATTCCTAAAAATTCTATTTGTGTGAACAGGGAAACAAGGAATCTAGTCCTATTTTTGTTACCTTACCCTACCTACCTATTCTTAAGCAACATCCTTTATATTCCTTGTCTATCTTATACCCTTTCGTATATAAAACTGCTAATCTAAATAAACTATTCCTACTCAATAATCCTACCAAATAAAATACCTATTAAAACAAACAAACATTATATGTAATTTAATACATTGAGTGCTAATTGATACCATTTTCTTAGTGATCAAGTTTGTACAACTGTATATATGTGAATTAATTCTATCTAAATACACCACCTGCCAGCATATCACACACTTTCTCAATTTTTATACACAATGTCTCAACTTGAAGAGATTAGAACTGCACAAAACAGTTTGGAGGAATGTTTTTCAAAAAGGATGGCCGAACTGGAAGCACAGTTACACACGGGGGGACCCGCCAAGGACAAGGTTGCAAAGGTGGCTGAGGAGTTTCGAACCTTCCGTGAACTCATGTTTTCTATGCTTGGTATGCTCCGTAAACAAATTAATGAGTGCACCCATATGGTTGACGCTATTGAGACCAGGCACAGACGAAAGGCTCTCCTTTTCTTGGGTGTTGCTGAAGAGGAGAAGGAGGACTGTAAGGCTACAATACTTAGTATAATCCACAAAATGGAGTTGAAGGACATCACAGCATCCAGCATTAGTGTCTGTCACAGGATTGGAGTAGCCTCCAAAAATCGTCTCCGGCCAATCCTAGTACGATTTGTTAGGGTCGACTCCAGGTCATCAGTATGGAGGGCGAAGTCTAGGCTGAAAGGTTGTCCAGTTTCAGTAAAGGAGTTCTTGACAAAGTCTCGGCAAATTGTTTTTGGCAAAGCCCGTCAACATTACGGCATGCGTGCATGCTGGACCCAAGATGGAGTAATCGTGGTAAAAGTTGCAGATGGATCCCGGCATAAAGTCACCACCTTAGATGAGCTGATTACTCTTACGCAAAAACACCCTAAGACGGCTGCAGAATCCTCAACTGGAGACGTGCGCATAGTAGGAAGCGCTTTATCGTCGAAATCCAATTCAAAGCCACGTAAATAACTACGCATAATAGCGTTTTATTGTCTTAATTCTCCTTTCTCCTGTAACTACAACTTTAAATTATTCAATATTGTGGTATGTACTATGTAGTAATAGTATTATTACTTTCTATCCACCGTATTAAAACTTGCTTTTCTTTTATGTAACCTTACTTTCTTATTTATTTACATATTTTTTTTTAAATATATTACTTAATTTATAATTTTAATAGTTATTCGTTTAACATCATTTACTATAACTTGTACATATTATTCATTTTAAACACAGAGTACCTTTAACTTTAAATTATATTTTAAGCTAAGTTCTATTTGTTTTTGAACATATTAAATTGTTTTGCTTTAGGCTACATTTTGTCCATAGATTAATAGATCTGTAGCAAGTGCATAGTGCAAGTTAATTTTGTCGTGCGAAGGTTTTTTTTTTTATTAATACATGACCATGGATACAAAGTCTTTTGGCCACAGTATATATGTCGTCTATGAGACACTTTTCTATGATACTTTTTAATTGTTCTAAGTTAATGTTATTTATTATCAGTATTCTTAATGTACCTTAGTTTACTAGTTTAGTTGTAGCTGTCTTGAAAACAATTTTTATCGTTTTGTGTATTATAATAGTCATTTAATTTTGGAGTGTGTTAGCTGGCGGGTGGTGCAGGGATAGCAATTTGTAGTCGAAATTATTACTATTTTTTACGTTTTATAATTTTAATTATACTATATTATTTATTCTTACCATTTGGGTCTATATTATTTATTTATTTGTATATTCTATTACATATAGATGAGTTCCGATGATGATTCTTTTCTTTCTGCCAACGAGTTTTGTTCATCAAATGACAGTTATTGCTCGTTTACTGAAACGCTAGGGGATTTTGTGCGACGTAAATTCGAACAACCTCGCTCCTTGTTTAATGTTTGCCACATTAATGCACAAAGCGTACCTAGTCACTACAGTGACCTGACTGAGGCTTTCACTGACGCTGATGTTCATGCCGTCTTGATCTCGGAGACTTGGTTTAAGCCCCATCTTCCTTCTACCTCTTACCCTCTCTCTGGCTTCAGTTTGATACGAAACGATCGAGTTGATAGGAGAGGGGGTGGGGTCGCTATATATCTTCGTTGCGACTTCTCTTATAAAATTGTAGCTTCTTCTTCCCCTTATTATACTGCATCTGCAGAATTTCTATTCCTTGAAGTTTGCGTAAAAGGAGCTAAATTGATTCTTGGTGTTGTTTACTGTCCTCCATCCGTCGATTACTTCTCCAGTCTTGAAACGATTCTGGAATCCTTGGGGTCCAAATACTCACATCACATTATCATGGGCGATTTTAATACAGACCTCCTGACTCCGCACTCATCCCGTTCCTCTAAGCTCCTTCACATTGTCGAGTCGGTTGGCCTCCACATTTTACCTTTACAAGCCACTCACCACAATATTGATGTAGAGGATACCTGGCTTGACTTAATCCTTACCTCTGCTCCTTCCCTTGTCTTCTCCCACGGTCAGCACTTTGCACCTGCTTTCTCCTATCATGACCTCATATTCATTTCTTACGTCCTAAAACCTCCTAAACCTCCAGCTAAAACTCTACACATGCGTTGTTTTGGTCGCTTAGACGTTGAAAAACTTTGTATGGATGCATCCAAAATAAACTGGAACAGCGTGGTTTCTGCATCCACTGTGGACGAAAAGATAGAGGCTTTGAATGAAGCTATCCTTAGGCTATATGATGTACATGCTCCGATTAAAAAAGTGAAGCTCAAGCGTCCACCTGCGCCATGGATGACGATTGGGGTTCGAATTGCGATGAGACGTAGGGATCGGGCTTTTGGCAAATTTAGAAAAGATCGATGTGATGAGAACTGGACTCTTTATAAAGTTGCAAGGAACCGGTGCAATCAGATGATACGCAACGCCAAACGCCGATTTATTCTTAGTAACATCTCATCTTCTTCCCCTGCTAATATCTGGAAGTTCCTTGGAACCTTAGGTATCGGTAAACGACAACGTTGTGAGTTTCAGAAGACGATTGGTCTGGATGATATTAATTTTCATTTTGTCTCCAACAGTCCTCTTGATCACCAGACCAAGCGTCTTACTATTGAACACTTAATGGGTTTACCTCGTCCCGATATTGATCTCTTTCAATTTTCTCCAGTAGCTATGGATGAGATCAAGAAGACAATCCTATCCATTAAATCTAATGCTGTAGGTTGCGACAACATCAGCCGACGGATGATTCTCTTTATACTTGACCATATCCTCCCTGTTATCTCGCACATCATTAACTTCTCCTTGGATTCTGGTGACTTTCCTTCTTTGTGGCGTCAGGCTTACGTTATTCCATTACAAAGGATCACAAATCCCACTCTACCCAATCATTTCCGACCTATATCCATCCTTCCCTTCTTATCCAAGGTCCTTGAGGCCTGTGTCCACAAGCAACTTTCGCAGTTTATCTCCTGTCATAACTTACTAAGTCCCTTGCAGTCTGGTTTTAGGCCCGGTCATAGCACCGTTTCCGCACTCCTGAAAGTAACTGGTGATATTAGGGCAGGCATAGAGGATACTAAAGTCACTGTGTTGGTTTTAGTTGACTTCTCGAACGCCTTTAATACCATCAGTCATGACCTTCTAATTTCCATCCTTTCCCTTTCAATGGTCTCACCCGAAGCACTGGATTGGTTTTCATCATATCTTCGAGGTCGCCAGCAGTCGGTTCGCATCGATGAGCTATCATCTAGCTGGCTTTCATAATCATAATCATAATCATAATCTTTATTGCAATCAAATGGTTATCAATAGATGTGATGTTTCAAAAATAGTCCGCATTTGAACCCGGTTTGGGCGTAGCAATTATAAAAAATTGAATTTACATTATTGAGTACTATTAATATACAGAATAAAATTATATAGTAAATTAAATAAAAACAATAATTATTGAAGAATAATTAAATAAAACAAATAAAATTAGAAGGTCGAAGTTGTCTACACAAATTAAATAACATTTGTATCAAAATATTCATTTAAATTATAGAAGCATTTTTCAATTAAATATAATTTTAATTTTGATAAAAATAATGTTGTATCCGTTAGAATTTTTATGTAATTTGGTAGGTTATTAAAAATTTTTGCTGTCATACAGTAGGGGCTAGAGCTATGTAATGCGAGTGTGGATTTCGGTAATATTAGCCTATTTTTGTTAGGTCTAATTGAGTATTTGTAATTAGTGTCGCTTAATTTGTTAAATAGTTCTGGATGGTTTTTTACAAATTTGCATGCTTCCCAAATATAAATAGATGTGAAAGTCAATATTTTAAGTTTTTTAAAGTGGGGCCTACAACTTTCTGGAATTTTTATATTTGCCAAAATTCTTATAAATTTTTTTTGGATTATAAATAATTGCTGCGCATCAGTACTATTTCCCCACAATATGACACCGTATGATAGCCACGAAGATGTGTATGCGTAATATGCCGACAGAGCGCTGGGGACATCCGTGGTTTTCTTTATTTCACGTAATGCGTATGTGAACCTGGATAGCCTGCTTTTAACTTTATTTATATGTGCTTTCCAGTTTATATGGCAGTCAATTTCCAGGCCTAGCAAGTTGAAGTTGTCAACAGTTCCTATAGGTGTATTATTATAATTAAAAGCGATACTTAGAGGTGATTTTTGAACTGGTCGGAATTGCATAATTTTGGTTTTATTAAAATTGATCTCTAGGTTGTGATGTGTCAGCCAATTTGTGACCTGGTTTAATACATGATACAGTTTATTATTTAAATTCTGGTCTTTTGTGTGTGAAATAAGAATAGAGATGTCATCTGCAAATATAACAGAGGTTTCACTCAATATCCTAGGCAGTTCGTTTATGTAAATTATAAATAGCAAACATCCCAAAACGCTACCTTGAGGGATGGAGCAAGTAGTATGGATTGCGTCAGATCTAACGTTACAGATTTCACCAGTGTCATGGTTATAATGCACTATCTCTACATATTGTTTTCGGTTTTCCAGGTAAGATTTAAACCATTTGTATGCCGTATCACGTATACCGATGTCATATAACTTCTGTAACAGTATTGGGTATTGTACTTTATCATAGGCTTTGGACATATCTAATAATATACCTACGGCGTATTTCTTTTCATTTATAATATCAAGTACTTTTTGTATATATTTGTATACTGCAAGTGTCGTTGATCGTTTCTTCCTAAAACCATTTTGTGAATTATCAAACAGTTTAAATTTTTCACAGAATGCGTAAACTCTATTTGACATTGCCTTTTCAAAGATTTTCGAAGATGTAGGTAACATTGCAATTGGTCTATAATTTGTAGTGTCTGTTTTTGATTCCTTTTTATGTATAGGTTTTACTATAGCAGTTTTTAATTTATCTGGGAACGTTCCTTCCGTAAAAGATTGGTTGACTAAAAAACTTAATGGAGAAGATAATGAATCAACACATTTTTTTATTTATTTCGGTGGTAATTCATCTATTCCATAACTATTTTTATTTTTTAATTTTTTGATAATGTTACTAATTTCTTCGGGTTTAACAGGACATAAAAACATAGTATTTAATGTACTTGTATTTTTAAAGGATTGCATTTGTTGAGATGGTATGTTTGCTTTTGAGACGTGGCCAACTAATGCAAAGAAATTATTAAATAAATTAGCTACCCTTTTTGGTTCTGATATATATTGGTTATCCACTAAAATTTCAATATTTTCTTTTATTTTATTTGTTGTTTTATTAGTACGTTCCTTTATAATGGCCCACATACATTTTACTTTATTATCAGATTGTTTTAGTCTATTTGCATAATCTATTCTTTTGGCCTTATTTACTGCTTTTTTCAGTATTTTTTCAAATGTTTTATAGTGTTTTTTTAAATTCAGATTCTTTGTATACGAAGTTAGGACCTTTAAAACTCTTTTATTTTTGCATGAAATTTTGAGGCCTTTTGTTAACCAATGAGTTTTTTGTCTTGCTCTTATAATAACGGTTTTTTTAGGAATGCATTTATTTAGCAAGTTTTGTAGTATGTCATGAAATATATTATAGTTTTCATTAAGGCTTCTTTCGACATTTATAATAGTACTCCAGTCTATAAGTGAAAGTTGAGATTTAAATTCATTTATGTTTTTCTCGTTATAAAATCGTTTTGTAATTACCCTAGGAATTGTTTTTATTTTGGTATTTTCGGTATTCAATTTAATCATAGTTCCTTTGTGGTCTGAGAATCCTAAATCTGCAACATAAGCTTTTAACTCCGCTAAGGAGAAGTTAATGAAGATAAGGTCTAGGCATGTGGCAGAATTACAAGTGACTCGTGTTGGCTCCTTTATAATTTGAATAAAATTATATTCTAACATAAAGTTTAACAGAAAGTTTGATTGTTGTGATTCTTTTAAAATATTCACGTTAAAGTCACCTCCAATTATAATTTGTTTTTTGTCATGTTTTCTATTTAAATATTGTAATAACATTTTCATTTGTGTGTAGAAAACTTCGCTCTCTCTATTATTCCAGTACAGACTAACAATAATAATATTTAATTTGGTGATTTCTACAGCACAAAGTTCTATTACACACTCTATTGAGAAGGCTTGACTTACATGCTGGTGTTCCTCAAGGCGGCATATTATCTCCTTTGTTGTTTTCTATATTTATTAATCTCATTACCCAAGACCTTCAGTCTGCGTATCATCTGTATGCCGATGACTTGCAACTGTACACCCAAGCGAGTATTGACAATATTTCTACAGCGGTGGACATAATTAACAGGGACCTTGAGTATATTAAGAACTGGTCTGACAGGTTTGGCCTAATGGTCAACCCTTCGAAGTGTCAGGCCATAATAATTGGTAGCCGTCGGATGATTCATAGATTGAAAACGGTAGCTTTACCTCCTATCTTTTTTAATAGTACTGAGATCCAACTGTGTTCTACTGTGAAGGATCTAGGTTTATTAATTGATTCTACTTTGAGTTGGAAAGACCAAGCAACGACCGTTAGCCAGAAAGTTACCGGTACCCTGCGTTCTCTCTATCGCCTAAAAAATTTTCTGCCATCTGCAACCAAAGCAATGCTTGTGCAAAGCTTAATTTTTCCCCTAATCGACTATGGTGATGTGTGTTATTTCGACCTGAATGCAGATCTTCTCAATAAATATGACCGTCTTCTGAATAACTGCATTCGATTCATTTTCAATCTTCGAAAGTATGACCATGTATCCACGTATCGATCTCAATTAAAATGGTTACCTATTCGTCAACGCCGTAGTTTGCGTGCACTCACTACCCTTTATTCTATCCTGATGTCTCCAACTTCCTGTTCCTACTTATCTCCATACTTTCAGTTGCTTAGCGCTAGTCATGAGAGAAACCTCCGCTCTACGAACAACCTTCTTCTCCTATGTCCTTCCCATAGCTCTGGACTTGTTCATTCCTCTTTCCACATTCAATCTATTCTCCTTTGGAACGCACTACCTCTCGAAATCAGGACGGCTAGCAATCGTTACGCGTTCAAGATGAAGGTTCGGGAATACATAACTAATAAATTGGCAGATTCATCATAGTAATAGTTTATATATATTTTATATATAAATATATATATATTTTATTTGATTATGTCTATAATTGTATATCTTCATGAGTTTACATACATCTGACGTTTTAATATGTACTTAAGTAATATACATTTTTATTATCTTATTATTTTTATCATAATTTATTTTATAAGTATATATATATATATATATATATATATATATATATATATATATATATATATATATATATATATTATATTTTTTTATTAACATTTATATCTTATGTATTTTATTTCGATGTGCTACAATTTTTTTTTGTTATTTTAGTTTAGTATTAACATATTACCTTTTTATTACTCCTACTTCATTATATCTCTGCATCATCCCAAGGTAGACTGGTAGAGAATGCCTTAGGCATTAAGTCCGCCTATATACCACATGTGTATATGAAGTTTTAAATAAATAAAATAAATAAAAACAATCCTAAAAGAATTACCTAGATAAACCTACCGACAATTTACATACCTAACGAGTTAAAATCACCTATTTACACCTATTTGCTTCCCTATCAGCTAATTGTCTATCATTTCTTACTATTATTTAGCCGTATCATTTGCTAGGTAATCAGTGCTATTTTTCAAGCCGCCTATAATTTGCATTCATTGCGCCTATTTTACGACTTGAAAGTCTTCACTAGCATTTAATTAGTTGGTAGCCACTGTTAAATAGTTAGAATTTAAATAGCTGAACCTATTTCTTTAAACGTAAGCATACATATGTACATAGCTACGCAAAAATTTGAGCTTAACTCCTCAATGCAAGTAAATTCACTTCTCGCTATTCACTGTTAGCTGTTTATGCACGCAAATAAATTAGTCATCACTATAGCATAATCATTCGCTAAGCCCTATATTACGCTAATTAAACCATTATTTGCACAAATCAATTAAATTTACGATCAACCTTGCTTCCCGTTATTATTCTATGTACGGAGATATCTGCAAAGCATTCCAACAATAAATTTCAGCTACGGTGCAGCGGTCGCTCGAGACTATCATCGCATCCCGTGTCACTGCCAGCACTGCGGGCTCACGTCGTGGTACTGGACCGCGGGCGTCGCGCGTCATCAATCCCACCTTTCACCGCGCTTCTGCTGATTTTGAACCGGTTTCCGTCACAGCGGCCACGAAGCGAGGA